CGAGGGCGGCCGAGGTGGCCGGGTACGGGCGCAAGTGGTCGGGGCGGTGGGGCCCCGCCCCCCCCGGGAGGCCTAAGGAAAAAACCCAGAGGCCGGGACGCCCAGGGCTGAGGCGGGTGGAGGTTTTATCTAGGCGCGCGCGCATGCAGCCTGCGGTGGGCAATCTTGCATCTCGGCGGCAGCCCTCCTCCCCCTCCCCAGCCCCAATACCCATTGTCCAGACTTCCCAGTGCGGTGAGGCAATAACGCCATTCATCTTCAAGGAAAAAAAGAAGATATACAAAGCCTCCCCACCCCCTCATGACGATAATGTCCACTGGGAGATGCTTGAGCCTCCTGTGGGGGGAGTTGGATGGCGGGACAGTGTTCATGCTGGAGGAAGGGGCGACAAGGAGGCAAAATAAACCCACGGTACAGAAGACAGAGTTATGCCTGTTCCCTCAACGAACCACATTTATTAAAAATGACTAAGGCTACATAAAAATCGAAGATCTCTGAAAAGCCAGCAGACGCTGTGGCGTCACGTTTCCGTTTATTCACATTAATTACCAAGCTGGGTGGTGGGGGTGGCGAAGGAAGAGGATGAGAGGGGAATTTTCCTTAACACGTTTGAAGTTAGTACAGAGTTGCTGAATACATTCTTAACTATCTAAGAAGTAGACAGAATAGATTCCCATATATTGGGGGGATGTTGGGGGAAACTTCCCCGGCTCCTGCAAGCTGTCCTCCGGTGATTTGCAAATTCTTTACAAAGCCAAAGCACCAATTTTACATAATCTCGTAGACCTACGTTGACTATTTGTACAATATTTTTCACAGTATTCTACAGTGTATCTAAGCACACACAACTGTACACTTCAAAATTCTCTCTTTTCTTTTCTTTTTGGCAACTCCCTCCCTCGTCCCCTCCTGAGTCCTACTAGCCCCCTCTGGGCTCACAGCAGAGGCCTAGCCCACGAGGCAGTCCTGATCCAGGGCACACATGGCTTGTTTCAAAAAATCTGGGAAGAATCAAAGTCAAGTAAAACCAGCCCCTTCACAAAGTTCTTCTGGCCTCCCAGGCCTAACGTCTTTTGTCCCCAGCAGAAAGTTACCAGCAAAAAAGTCCTTGTTGAAGCTGAAGGCCTCCCCTCCTCCTGTAGAAGCCAAACATCTTACCACTCTGGGCTTCCATTTGCTTACAGATTTACAAATAAAAACGAGAATCAAAGCTTTCACATCCTCTGATAGCATTAGGCACTCAATCTTCACAGCCCAATTCTCTGAACGTCTAGTGTCTCCAATAAATAAATCCGTAACTTTGAACAACCTTCAAATTTTAAAACACTTGAAAGTCCTTCGGTACATTTATTTAAAAAAAAATGCTAGGCTTGTTTCAGTTACCTGCAGCAAATCAAAAAGCTTTGGCACCTTCTTTTAGGAAATTGCACAAAACAGGGTGCATCAGGGTGGAAGGCAAATGTCTTTTTGGCAAAGAAGACAAAAAACAACAAAAAAACACCACCAAGTCCATCTGCCAAAAGTTAGCTGATTTTTGCGAGGTTGAAAGAACTCTTCAGGGAGTTGTGTAAAAAGCATAATAGCCCCCCATGCTTTTCGAGGTGTCTTTGCTGTAGTCTTCAGCGTTAATGTCCTCGCATTTTATGGAGGGAGAATTCTCGTTACTGGAGGTGCTGGGGGACAGTCGCCTTCGCTTACAGGCACTGGTGTAGACGCCCGAATCGTTGGAATCCAGAGACTTGATGGAAGGGGGCGTCTCTATCCAAGAAGAGCTCATTTCTTCTTTGACTTTCTCCTTGGAGAGCTGGTCTTCAGAGAACACAGGGGGGCTCGTTCTGGAGGTCCATGGGAGTCCAGCTGCCATCTTTCTCTGATAAGAGCCTCTACCTCCCCAGCCCGCCATGGCAGGGAAGGTGGGGTCTGGGTAATACCCCAGGGCATGGGATGTCTGGAGGGGCAAGGATTTAATGCCATACGGGAGCAAGGCGCTGGAAGTATATTCAGACTCATAGGAACCGATGTCTAGTTTGTTGGTCCCAGCTTGCTGGACAGGTGTGACAAGCCACCGCTGGGGAGGGTTGGTCACCTCTTCGCTCTGTTGGGGCGAAAGGAGGCCGTTGGTCTGTGGCACGGTTCTCTCGCCATTATAATATCGGGCTGGAGGTAAAGTGTTGGCAAAGGGCTCCGGGAAGAAGGACTGAACGCCGTACCGTCCTCCGGGGACAATCTGATGGGATCTAGGAGAATCCGTAGGAGATGGAGTTAACCTGTCATTTTCTGAAGCGGTGTACATGCTACAATATAAAAAGAAACACTTAAAAAAAAAAAGGAAAGAAACAAAGACCCTAATGTTGTCCCTAAACAATCTGCCTCCCAGAAATGAAGAAGGCTCAAAGGCTGGGCCTTATAATGGGAGGGCTGCACTGGCCCATTTTAGATGGATGCTTGGATCATCAGGGGAAAATTTCCCACCACGCAAGAAAAACTTTCCTCCCAAGACATTAAGTATTGAAACTACAGAAAATCCACCTTCACAAGTCCTAGAACTTGAAGAACTCAGAGTAACCCTCCCTGGAGTGGCAGGGAAGGAATGCTGGCTGTGGGATTAGAAATCCCAGATTTAAAGGCATTTGCAGGGTCTTGTTGTTTGATGTAGTGAAAAATGACTTCTTCTTAGTGTCAGGGTTTTCTTATGTTAAAAAAAGAGAGAGAGAGAGAGAAAGAGGGAGTAATAATATCTGCCCTGAGAGAATTAAAAAAAAAAAGGGGGGGATCAAATGAAAAGGAAGGCATATAAATGCAGATTATGAACATTTTGAATCTCCACTCAAATGTTAAAAAAAAAAAGCTCCTCATCTTTAAGCCTTTAACATTTCTTTAGAAATTAACAAAACCCTTCTGGGAAAATTCTAATGCAAGATTAGTCAAGGCAAAAAAAAAAAAAAAAAAAAAAGCACAGATCAAAATAGCTAAAAATCCCAAAGGCGAAAGCTCTTCCTAGAATATGGTCTCATGAAAGTGTCTGATCCAGCGTGTCTTGTTCAAAGATGACCATGCAAGTAAAACAAAGGGGTACTTACGAGTCATAGTTGTCCCTGAAGCCTTTTGCAAAGGGGTTATGATCAATCTTGAGTTGAGTTATCTAAATAAGGGAGAAAAACGGTCTTTAAGTGTTTTGGCTCTCACGGGGGAACTCGTTTTTAGAGATTCTTGGGACCTTTGGGACACTCACGTCGGTGTTCTGGTAGGCAGTCACCGCGATGAACTGTGTTTCTGAGAAGGTGAAGGTCTGAGCCTTGGAGGGCTCATTCAGGTCCTCCACGCCGTCCTCTGTGACTTCCACGATGTGCAGTCGTGGTTGGTACTTGTGTAAAGACTGGAGGACTATCATCTGCAAATGGTACAGAAAGAATCGCCAAATCTAAAAAGTCTCTTGGAGGCACACACACAAAGTCGGTTTTTGACAAATTACATCTTTTAGGATGGGACTCCTGCTGTTTGCCGCCAACAGCTCACATCTTCTGGGTACATACGTGTGCTTAATAAACCCTCTCCTCTTGGCTTCCTAAACTCTCCCCAAAGATTTCAGGATTTCTGTTCCTAACAGTGAAGTCACCATTCTTGAAATCCAATAAGAAAGTGAAAATAATAATTAAAAAATAAATAATAAAACAATAAATAATAATAATAAAATAATAATATAAAAGTAAAAATGAGAAAAGTCAAAAGGAAAAAAAAATGGAAAAGAAAAGACTAGCAAGAGGCCAGGAACAGGTAACAGCAAATATTCTAAATACAGTGAAGAATATTAGAAATAAAAGAGCTTCACAGCCAGGAGACACCCCCTCCTGTCACTCTACCTGCGTGTTGTTGTTATTTGCGCCTTTATTATTGGTGAGTTTTAATTTCCCAAAGGAAATCTCCTGTCTCATCCAGTGGGAACCAGTATTCGGAGACTCTGGGTGAACATACATTTTGTTGCCTAAGAGAAAATGAAACAAAACACAAAACCCAAGCACACAGGGCTGTTTAAAAATGGAGGGAGGAGTGGGAGGGTGTAGCTCAGTGACAAGAGTACATACCTAGCATGCCCGGGATCCTGGGTTCAATCCCCAGTAGCTCCATTAAGAAAGAAATAAGTAAACCCAATTATCTCCCCCCACAACACAATTTTAAAAATAAAATACAAAGGTAAAAAAATAACTTTGAAAAAAAATGGAGGGAAGGGACGGATATTTATTACGAACGGGCAAGGTCGGAGAGCTAGGGTTACAACATAAGTCTTCCAGCCTTAGGGGCTTAAGAAGGCCCAGTGGAGGCCAACCAGGGGCCCTGTGCTTCCAGCCCTCCTTGGACAAGGCTCAAGATATAAAAATGGGGCCCACAGGCAATGCCTCTTTTGAAGGCCAATTTGGCGGCCTCTAAAGCTAGAATGGCAAGATGGAAAGTTGAATTTTTATGGTAACCTCAACCTCTGGGAGGCCTTTCTCAAGCAAAGCTTAGAACGCCAGGAACCCTTGTCACCTGGAGAGTTTATGACAATTCCTTTCTCAAAGGTAAGGACTTAACGGGGAAGGGCTGGAGTAGGGTCATGGGGTAAAATTCTATCTACGGAGAGGCAAGAAATCTGACTTAGCAATTCTCCCCCTTGACCAAACAATCAGCACAAAGGAAACTCGCACGGACACCTGCAGGCCCCGGATTGGGAGGGAAGGAATGTTGGGTGAAAGCGTGAGTTGTCCGAGTCGGGGGCTCCCAGCCCGCCCCGCCCCGCCCGCCCCGCCCGGGCCTCGGCTCTCCTCACCCTGCATGTTATTGTCGGCTTTGCCGCAGGTCACCCATTTGCCCCCCTGGAAGCGCCAGTGGTTGGGGTCCGCCAGCACCACCTCCACGAACACGTTGTAGTGGGCGGTGGGGTTGAGTCCGTTTATGTTGAAGCTCAAGAAAGGAAACATGCGCCTGTGCGAAGGAAGAGAAAACCAGGAGACGAGAGATTCAAACCCGGACGCCCTGGAACCGGCCCCCAGCTCAGAGGACGACATTTAGAAGTTAACAGAACGAACGGGATACCAGTAGATAAAGTGGCCGTCACTACGTAAAATGTTCCTGAGCTGGCAACTCTTGGAACATCTCTTTTCGGAAATACTTTGCCCCCAAGTCAGTATTTCCAAATACGCTTCTGCACCCTCTCCCAACTCAAGTTCCCGACCCTTACAGGTGCTCATTAATTTTTTCCCCCAGGATGTTTAAAATCATTCATTTTTATACGCACAAGTGCAAGTTGTTCTCGTAAAAATAAAAAAAAAAAGAAAGAATTCTACTGGTAACGTTTAAAGTCTCCTCTGGACGCCCCTCTCCCAACACCCACTCACTTTCCCTACTTGCTAGCAGTGAGGTGTGTGTCCGAACTTTCTCAGGCCCGGGACCCCAGCCACATCGGACTCCAGGGTCTGCCTAACCACTACCCGGACCGACCCTCGATGCCGGCGAGCCGGTCCACACCTTGGTCCCCCCGAGGCGCCCCATGGAGACCCCGGCGCCTAAAGCTGCGGGAGCCCATCTACTGCGCCCAGGGAAGCCAGTTCTTGCGCCTTCCTCCATCCTTGGCTCCTCGCCGGCCCGCAGGGACCAGCGTACCGCCGAGCGGGCGGATCTAGTAAATCCAGCTTTGTGGACAAGCCCCAATTTCCATTTCCGCTTCCACCCAGGGGAGGGTGACGAGAGGGAAGGGGGGAAGCCACCGTAACCTGAGCACCGCGCACAAACCGCCGGTGCGCGGACGGGAGGGACACCGGATTGGAGAAGCGGTGTCTCCACTTGCTGCGCGCGGAAACTCACTCTCCGAAGCACAGAGCCGAGCGAGCGAGAAGCGGTCCCTCCTCTCCGCCATCCCCAGGACCCCACACCCGCTCCTTACCCCGCGCGCCTCGGGGCCCCTCCGCGCTGCGCTCACCTGCCCTGTTTCGTAATGATCATCTCGGTTTGGTGGCGGTGGAATTTGAGCCACAGAGGCCGGTTGCACAGGTAGACGTGGGCGCGGAAGCCGGGGCCAGGAACCCCCAGGCCCCCCAGTCCTCCGCAAGAACCCGCGGCTGCCGCCCCAGGGTACGGCCCATAGAGCGGAGCCCCCTGGCCGTACTGATAG